TGCACGAAGCTCTAAAAAAGCTTCGACCAACCAAAAATGACGACTAAGATGTTAACATGGAATGTCAATGGACTGAACTCTCCACAGAAGAGGAAGAAAATATTTTATTTTATTTTATAAGATAATTCTTTATGCAACCATTCTGGTTTCTTCTTGGATCTTCTTATTTTTCTTTTTCAGTGGTATTGGGCTGTACTAGAATTTATAATCAAATTTTTCAGAGTTTCCCAAGCTCCTTGAGTTGTTTTCCTCTTTAAGGAATCTTTCCCAACCTCTCGTGTTTGTTGAAATCAGTTAATTTAAGCTCTAAGGCAATAGTTTGATTTGTTCTATTGCTTGTGTCTGCATTATATTGAATTCTAATCTGACACGGTCACATTTCCCCAAATTTTGAAATCTTTAAATTATGAATAATGAAGTTAGTATCAATGCAATGGCTCCCCTTTTAGATCAATAAACACGTATCTAGAATCTAAGAATCCAAGATTTCAGAGACTGATATATTGATGGACTTTATTAACACTTTGGGAAGATAGACTCTTCAGAAGGTTCTTGATAGACTTTAGCATTGGGCCCTATCCAACGATGTAATCCATTGGTGAGAAAATTAAGCACCTGCATTTAGGCAAGAAAAATCAAATTGTATAGAATAGATGGTACCTGGTTCATAGCAATTGTGAGAGGGATCTAGCTGTCCTAGTAGATCTAGCGAATCAGTTAGCATGGTGCTACAGCTGCCAATGCGGTGTTAGGCTGCATCAACAGAGAGATAGCATCAAGATCACAAGAAGTGATAGTGCTGCTTTATACTGCATTAGTGAGACCACACTTGGAATAGTGCATCAAGATCTGGGCAACATTATACAAAAAAAATGCTAGAAAGAGTGCAGAAAAGAGCAACTAATGATAAGGGTTCTAGAGGCTAAACCATACAATGAACAATTAAGATAACTTAATATGTATGTCTAGCCTAATGAAAAGAAGGATTAGGAGAGACATGATAGTTGTCTTCCAGTACTTGAGGGGCTGTAACATAGAAGAGAGAGTTGACTTATTCTCCAAAGCACCACAGGGCAGGACAAGAAGTAATGGGTGGAAGCTCATTAAAGAGAGATCCAACATGGAACCAGGAAGAAATTTCCTGACAGTGAAATCAGTTAATCAATGCCTCCTGATTTTTTTGATGCTCCATCTCTAGAGGTTTTCAAGAATAAGTTGGACAACCATTTGTCTGGGATGGTATAAGGTCTCCTGCCTTGGGCCGCGGGTGGGGGGTGGGGAGGCTTGAACTAGAAGTCCTCCAAGATCCCTTCTAGCCCTATGATTCTATGATTCTACACCTTGTAGAATCATAATGATAATAACTATGATTTATTATCTATTATGATGTACTGCTTGTTTATATGTACAATGTGAGCTTATGCAACAGACAAATTCCTTGTGTGTCTAACCACACTTGGCCAATAAAGAATTCTGTTCTGTTCTGTTCTATTTTCTCTCTGTTAAAATAATATTGCTGATTGTCTCAGCCTGCTGTGACTCAGGTTATCTAGGCATATGCAGGCTTCAATAAAGTCCTTTATTGTTTTGCTATCCCACAACAAATGGCCCTACAATGTAGGGGTGGGTTGCTGCCGGCATTACTGCCAGTTCGGTGTGTGTGCAATTTTGCGCGTGCCCGCTTTGCTTGCGCAAATTTGCTCATAAATAGGTTTGCGCATGCACAGAACATTAAAAAATGGGAAAAAACATGCCACACTGACTGGGGAACCAGTTCGGAAGCGTGGAAGGCCTCGGTCACTACTGGTTCCAACGACCCAGGCTGGCAAACCACTACCAGTTCAGCCGAACTGGTCCGAACCGGTAGGAACCCACCTCTGCTACAACAGCCAGTAAAGCTCTACTACAAACTTTCTGGAAGACAGCCACCCACAATCAGTGCAACACAGTCTCATAAACTAAAGCCAAAAATACATAAGTCATAAAGAAGGTTCAAGGTCCAAAAGGCAAGGTCCAGAGTCCATAGGGCAGAAACATAATCCAAAGCAGAGTTTGCAAAGGTGAGGAAGTATGTGTCAAAGCATAACTATTGTTCCTGATGAAGACACCTCCCCCTGGCCTCTGATTAAATCGAGCCAAGGTGGCGCAGTGGTTAAATGCAGCACTGCAGGCTACTGCTAGATCAGCAGGTCAGCGGTTCAAATCTCACCGGCTCAGGGTTGACTCAGCCTTCCATCCTTCCGAGGTGGGTAAAATGAGGACCCAGATTGTTGGGGGCAATATGCTGACTCTCTGTAAACCGCTTAGAGAGGCCTGAAAGGCCTATGAAGCGGTATATAAGTCTACTGCTATTGCTATTGCTAAATCATTTCCAGCCAGGTGCTCCTTGTGAAGAGGGCTGGAGTTGCCAGCAGCCTTGCAGACCTTCTTTGAGCTTCCCTCTGTCCCACTCTCTGCACCCTCAGATCAAGTTGGGGAGGTAGCAGTTCCCATTCAAAGGGAATCTGCTGCCTCTCATCACCACTGCCTGTCTGCAGCCGATCTTCCCAGTTCTAAATCCAAGCGCTTGAGCCACATGATGGAATGAGCTCCCATCAGTTTGTCCTAGCGCCTGCTCTCCCAAAGTTTTGAAGGCATGCAAATACAAATAGATAAGTAGATACCACTTCAATGGGAAAATAATAGGGACATAAAGGAGCCCTCTCGGGCATCCTCTGGACAATGGTCATGTTACCAGCTAATCCTTTCAATCTGGAAGTGCCTTAGTAGGTGTTCCTGACACAATGTAACAATATGTTCAAATAATTGCAGCTGTGTAAGTCAAAGAATACAATAAACTCCTAAAGTCAAAGAAAAAAATTGTGCCATAATACTAAGAAGACCCTTAGTCACAACTCCTTCACTTCTTCAACTGGGCAAGTACATCCCAGATCAGTTTCAGCCTTTTTCCTTTTTGAGGTATGGGGAAAGCAAATGATATACATTAAATAGATTTGGGGAGTACAGATGTGCATTATTTTTAGATGATACTTGTAGTGTCAGCTTAGGTTAGAATCATATACTTAGGTCAGAATCATATACTTTGATAAAAATAGAATCTTAGCTTCTGCTTTCTTCATATGCTAATATAGAATGAGCAGGAGTAAAACCTTCTTTGCAGGATTGCAGGGTATTAAATTGTTCTATTTTGTTATCCTTCCTGTTTCCATTTTTGTTTTCTTTCCGGAAAGAAATGTTAGATCTATGTTTGGATAGTGTCTGTCATAGCAGGAAGTGCAGAGAGGAAAATATAAAAATGATGGCTGCAGTTATTTGTTATGGTCAGTAATTTGTAACTGGACTATGATGAAGAGAAATTATGTTTGGTCTGTTTACTTATAATCTACTTTTCCTGCAAGTATCCCACCTGATCCAGATGTTGTCTGACCACCTAGTGACCAGCCCAATGAAATAAGATTATTCCTAAATCTCAGTCATGTTGTATTATACTGAGAGCAATATACTGTATGCCATAAAGCTGTAATACAGATGACAATGCTTGTATTATTTCTCACAAACTTAGATATTCTTAGCCAAATCAGTTTTTATCTCTTTTTCATTTTTTACCTGTTTACAATATATACAGGCTTGTAACTAGGATTATAGGTATGTTTTTTTAGTGTCTTGAGTGCTCTGAAAATATAAACACCTTTTTTTTAGCTTTGGAATGATCAATGCTAATTATTGAAAAAATGCAGTCTATGTAGAATTATATAACTTCCTGTCATATATGCGCTTGCCTTTAATTTTAGGCCTTTTCCTTTGCTGATAAAATCCATCTCTTTATTATACTTTGTCACCTACAAACACTGCTCTTAATCCATTAGTCTCATAAAGCCTACTTTTTTGGCATTCCTGAGCATATATATTAATGGGACAGTACTTTTGAATATGCAGTTCTTCAAATCTCCTAGCTAATCAAGGTGGATGATGCATTCTAGTTCTGAAATCTCAATTCTGTGAATTCATATTTGTTCTTCCGGTTACACAAAGAAGTCTGCATGGTTTGCTATAGAGTAGGTTGAAAAGAAAGGACTACATTCACTGTCTTTGTTGCACTGCAACCTGACTCCTGCCTTTGCTGCCAGGCTTTCTCATCTTTGCTGCTACAACAACCGACTGATTAAGCCTCTTCAGTAAATCAGCAGATTGCTGATACTATGTATTGCCCATGCCTCGGATTGTGATTTTTATAATGCATACAAATAATGTATCTGGAATTTATTTATTTAATTAATTTATATGCTGCTTATTTCACTATTCAAAGTGACTGGTTTAAAGATCTCTTGTCATTTCAAAAAAGAAATTTTCACTCCCTACACTCTTATCATCCCGTCCTTTATTTTTGTTTATTATTAAATGTGTATGTTGCTTAACTTCTAATGACTTTAAAATTTGCCCTTGGAAAGCCATGAATTCAATACTATTACTTCCTAACCGAGTAGTTGAGCAGTTTTGAGTCAAAAAGCGCTTTTGAAAATCTTAAATTTTCCCTGCAGCACAATATCCTGCACATTCCATTCCATAAAATAATTTTTAATTGGAAATAAGACAAGTTAGAAATACATACTCTATTACTCCATTTTACATCAGATTTGTGTTTTATACCACGTTAGAGCATAACCCTACTTTTTTCTTACTACTGTAAGTTTTTTTTTAGTTTTTCTAAGTTTTCTTTCCTATTCAACTTGAACACAAGTAGAAACTGTCCCATGAAGTAATATTAATCAAACTAACCCTTCTCATTTAAGGGAAGTGGGTAGTCCAAATAATATATTTGCATAGCTTCCTAGAGAATGTGACTACAATAAATAAAAACTATTATTTTAGTTGATGTTAATTGTTTCTGCAATTCTACTACATTGTCTCTTTTTCTTCCCCAAGTTTCTGCTGAAATTTTGCGGAAAAATCTGGACCAGATGAACAAACAGATTTCAGATCTACAGCATGATGTTAACAATTTTCCCAGTAAAACAGAAGAGAAGGACAAATTTGTGGAGAAAATGACCATATCCTTCAAAAATGTGCACTGAGAAATGTTGAAAATAACCTATGAAAGAAAGAATCTTATTTATGATACTGAGGGATAAAACCACTGGTTTCAGAATGAGGAAAACACTGAGCAGACTGCTCAGCAGTGGGATGATTGCAAAGATCAGCTGTTAGAAAGACCAAATTATCTAAAGCTATCAGTACAGGTACTTGTTGATGCAAGTATTACCAAACATTGAATAACAAATTCTCATTCTTGTATAATTTTTTCTGGGAATCCCTAGTTTTCATTATAAAGCAAATTTTATATTTTAAGATTCTTAAAGTGGCATTTATATATAACTGTTTATTGACATACTTTCGTAGTATTAGAAAGATACACTGTACCAAAAGAGGAGTTGTTTAATTTTTCACAAGATAATGACAGTAATAGAGACCCTTAGCAAGTGACATATACCCTGTTTCCCCGAAAATACTTATCCTGAAAATAAGCCCTAGCATATTTTATGCATGCACCTAATATAAGCCCTACCCCTCAAATAAGTCCTACTTAAGAGCCTGCGCAGCCGACAACCTGCCCATTCTGTCTGGTTGCTTGCGGTGTTGTGTCCACAAGGCGAGCCAGGGTTTTAGTGGAGCTGCCCACACATCCTACACTGGCTTACCTTAGGGCACTCACAGCCAGGCTCTCTATGCCCTGACACCTGCCTCACATGTACAGCAGCAGCAACCATGTGCAGCAGGAGCCCATGTGGTCTCCAGCCCACGTCTGCTGGTTTGTGGAGGAGACTGAGTGGTGTGCCGCAAGGTGAGGCAGGTATCGGGGTGTGGATAGCCTGGCTGCAGGGGCCGTGAAGTAAGCTGGTGCAGAGCACGTGGCGTAGCTCACCCCGTGCCTTGAAGCAGTTGCACTGGCGTGCCATTAGGACTCCTCCCCTGTTGCAAACAAGCAGAAGTGGGCCTCCTGTATGTGGGGGGGGGGCGGGAAATAAGAACCCACCCACCCCCCAAAAAATAGGCCATAGTGCTTAGTTTGGAGCCGAAAAGAAAATTAAAACCCATTCTTCGGGGGAACATGGGTAGTTATTGATACGGTGTCTTGCTTTGAGTAGTCTCCCATTCAAACAGTTGAAAGCACAAAGTGTAAACTCCTTCCTGGTGTCTCTTTGGGTGATTTGCAGGCAATAGCAATAGCAATAGCAATAGCAGTTAGACTTATATACCACTTCATAGGGCTTTCAGCCCTCTCTAAGCGGTTTACAGAGTCAGTATATTGCCCCCAACAACAATCCGGGTCCTCATTTTACCCACCTCGGAAGGATGGAAGGCTGAGTCAACCTTGAGCCGGTGAGATTTGAACAGCCAAACTTCAGAACTGCAGTCAGCTGAAGTAGCCTGCAGTGCTGCATTTAACCACTGCGCCACCTCGGCTGGAGTGGCAATAGAACCAAGTATGAATAAATAAAGCTTATTTGCCATAGTCTATACACCTGCATAACGTATTCTTCCAAAATATTCCATAGCTGAATTCACAGAAATCCTGACTCCTAGATATATCCATGTAGCATGAACATTTAGTTTATCATTCTATGGTTAATTGATACTAGGCAAAATGGTACAAATTATATCCTGAAACACCATAATTAAATCCTCACTTGAGATTTTGAGTAATTTTAACATGATAATATATAAATAACTTGATCTCTGGATACCATTTCTCTTTGATTGTTTACAAAAAAAATGTTTTTGGTTGTGGTCTTGGAGTGGCAAGCATCTTTCCCTCTAGGTTTAGGTATCTTAGTAATCATGGAACAAAATGATATTGTGATTAGAAACTACTCTTTTATAGAAGGTTAATATCTGTTTCTCATTTCAGCAGGGCATTGTTTTTTGACCATTCTCCCAACAGTGAAAGAGAATTTGCTCAATTTTTAATTTTGGAAGTAATTTCTTCTAAAGGAAAAAAACTGCCATGGTAACATTTTTTCAGTAAGCTAATATTGTCTTGCCTCTCATATGTGTCTTCCATCTAAGTCATTTTCACAAGAACAACTTCTGCAAAATTTGCTGAGAGATGTTTATTACATTTCTAAGATGCATCTTTAGAAAGCCCTAGAAAAGGTTGGAACATCTTTTATTGAGAACTTCTTGGCCAACCTCCTAGATAATTTTGCTATACTCCAATGTGAGTGATACATATAGATGAATGAAGTTGATGAATAACAATAGATTGCTTGCCTGTGATTGGTTTGCTTGTTTATTTTGAGTGGTTATTGGATTTTACACAATATGCCCATCTTTCTTTGCTGCAAGTACTGCAGATTGAAGTGGGGCTGGAATTCCTACTAAAAATTCAATTATTGAATGTTGTAGTATAATGGTTTGCAGAGGCACAGGCCTAGACATTAATACACAGATAATTATTTTTCTGAATGAATAAATGCTGAGAGAAGGATAACTAGATATAGATAACTTATAATAGAGAATTCTTCTAAGTTCCCGTTTCCCACCCCACCCCCAAGCATTTTTCAATTCAGGATGCCATTACTTCCTGATGCAAGTAGCAATTAAGGTGGTGGACCTCTTGAAAATGGTTTTAGAAAATGCTTTGGACAGCACAGCAGCATACCATCTTCATTTATATATTACATGCTTTGCCAGGGAGATTCAAAAAGGACTCCGGAAAAAAAAGCCATTAAAACCAATAGAGAGGATTCTCTTTATTGTAATCTTGAACATATGAATTAATGGTGTTATTATCACCAGGTGTATAGGGGATCATGCCTTTAGAAATGAACTCCTTTTGATGTTCAAGAGAATCCAATGAGCTGGAGAGCGTGCAGGTAGCCCTCATATTTGATGCTATTCCAACAGATGATTATTGATAAGTTAAGGCAGCAAGTACCCGGATGATCTTGTGCAATGAAATGTTTGTTTATTCATGTTTGAATAATTTTACTTTACTCTTTAAAATTATGAATTAATTCATATAAATTATGGATTAATAACCTGCAGTATATTTTAAATAGTTTTAATAATAAATTAACACTTTATTGATACAATCATTTCAATAAATTAAAATTTTAAAATAGCTATGATTGCTTAAAGACCCTTGAGGTAAAGCATCTGTAGCTGAGTCCTCCCTTTGTGCCCTCTGAAGAGTTGCAGTCAGAGAAGTAAATTATTTGCACTCAATGCTGGTCTTTCCAGTGGCTAGAAGTCAATGGAATATAACAATCAGGTAAATCACAATGACCTAATCAGAATTTATTTTGCAAAAAAGAGCTTTGTTACATTAGTACTGTGTTTGATTTCTCATAGTTAATTATATGATGTTATTTTGTCAAACTGATTTTTGCACAAAAGTATGGAATAAGAATCTGAAACTAAAAATACAAAAAGCCAAACTCTGAGCAACTTCAAAGCAATCTACTTATTCTCAGAAAGTATGTTTACAATTTGTTAGAAGTCTTTAACTCTAGTCTTACAGCTTTGTTAAGGAAGCCCAAGTACAGTATGAGAAGCTACGAATGATGCATGCAAATATGGAAAACCTTTATAAGGAATTAGGACAATACTTCCTCTTTGACCCCAATAAGATATCTATTGAGGAGTTCTTCACAAATCTGCGCAATTTCAAAACTATGTTTGTGGTGAGCAACCATCTGTTTTAATTACAATGTGTAATTTCATATTACATATTTAATTATAATATCTGCCACTATTTATTTGAACTGTGCTTTTTACATCAAACAAACCAACAGGTAAAATACTTTGAAAGAAATTCAAATTGTATGACATAAGAAGGTGGCTATTTTCTGTTGCATATTTTGCTCCTATTGTGTTTTTATATGTTCTTGGATTTTTGATCTTTTACACATGAATTATATGTTTGCTTGCTTGCTTGTTTAATTATTACATTTTTATATCATCATATCTCCCAAGGATTCATAGGATTATAATTGTTAACATTACGTATAATTCTTAAGTTGGTTGATATTGATAGGCATAGTGGTTCGGTGTGCTTGCTGGACTGCTAGAGACAAAATTTTGAAAAATAGGTCAGTAATTCTGCAGACAACAAATATTTGTAAATGTGTTCCAAGTTCCATAAAAGTATGTCAATATCCATTATAAGTTCAAACACTCACATTTCTTTAAAAGCTGTGTTGCAAAAGAATGTTAGCCAGAGGAGAAGTATAGTTTAGAGAGGTATAGTATAGAGATGAGGGTAGGAATGTATTTAAACAGTGATATTTGTAGTGAAATTAATCTTCCTATTTTTACTGGAATAAAATAAAAATAAATTTAGGTAAATGTGCTAAGGTATATCGTCCAGCATTTGGTTCTCAGGGATACATTACCTGTATATTTTGTGATTCCATTATTTTTTATGGATAAAAATAGTAAATAAATCTATCATTCATAAACCCATCACTTTTTACTTACTTTGTTTTGCCATATAGCCAGCATTGCATTATTTTATTTTGCTAAATGAAAAATATGATCTGCATATAATAACAACACAGCAAATTCATTGTTATAATTCTCCATTTGTGTATCTTATCACCTTCATCTTATTTTTAGCAAGCTGTGAAGGAGAATCAGAAAAGGCGTGAGATGGAGGAAAAGATGCGCAGAGCTAAACTAGCAAAAGAAAAAGCAGAGAAAGAACGTCAAGAAAAGCAAAAGAAGAGAGAACAATTGATTGATATGAATGCAGGTACTGTACCATGAATATTGTGGCTTGTATAAATTCCTTATCTCAGTCGAAAACTGAGAGGGGAAGAAGAGACTTCTCTTACTTGGTAATATCATAAGGGTACTACTTGATTGTGACTCAGGGTCCATCCAGTCTTCACTATGTGCCAAATAAAGTCTGTAGGGATTCCCATCTGGTCTACAGGGATTTCCTATCTGGTCTACAAGTTCTTTTGAAGATCTCTTAGTTCTTGTCCACTTGCCTTTTGCTCCCTGTCCAAATTCTTTCCAGCAAAAAAGGATCATTTCTGATCAGCAGCTATAGTACTTGACCGTAAGAACTACTGACTGTGCTTAATAGATTTAAAATAGATTGCATTGGCCTCATTAGAGGACATTTACTTTAGGGATCATCTGTCTCCATAGTATTTGCCTGGCCAACTTGATCTTGCAAGGTTGACATGCTCTTGGTTCCTCCAGTTAGATAATGTTGTCTATTAGGAAGTGTGCTCTCTCTCTCTGCATTAATGCCTGCCCTCTGCAATGAGGTTTTCCCCCCTCCCATATCTAGATTTTGCTATTGTTCATAAAACCCATGAAGAGCTGGATCTACATCCACGTCTTTGGTGAGAGATAATGAGACTCTTTGCTTTTTTCCATTTGGTCTGAATCAATTTCTTTGATTCTTGTGAGCTGCTCCAAATTGCTTGGAATCAGGCAGTATTCAAGTTTAATACATTGTTATTAAAGGTTCTCCTTGATTAATAGCCATAACTCAGCCTGCAATTTGGTTGTACATTATAAAGGTTGTAAAGTAGGTCACCACATGACTATGCCCAATTTTATTATCTTTTTTTTTTTGTGGTGGTGGTGGTTAAGCAGATGCTGCATTTGTTAAATGAACCTACTGTTTGTCTTTGGGTGTTTTTTGCCAGAAACTGGAAATAAACGATTTCTGTCAAAAATGTCAAAAATCACAGTCACATGACTGTGAGATGCTGCAAACAGCCAAAATAAGGACCAGTTGCTGAGCACCCAAAATACAATCACATGACCTTAGGGGAAGGAAGGACAGCAGAACATCAAATCTGGGTTATAAGTCCCTTTTTGGAATCTCATTTCAAATGATAAATTTCAAACAGTTCATCATAAGTTTACTGGTATTTTTAAAGTCTGCTTTTGATGGGAAATATTAATTAAAGAAAAAGGATGCATGAATATGGTATATGTAAATATTATAGACAAAATTGTGAATTATATGGCTTTAGAGCCCAAAATAAATCCTGTAAAATTTTAGACAGACTGCTCCAGAAAGCGCTCAAAATGGATATAGAGTCCATAGCAGTTTCTACGTTCTTTGTCAACTAGCACTATTCAGAGGTGTAGTAATTCCAACATATACATACATATATATATATATATATATATATATATATATATATATATATATATATATATATATATATATATTCGTCCATCTCTCAAACTGACAGCCATACATCTGTATATTTTTATCTCACTTTCAAATTCTATAATATCTCAGCGGTATGTAATGTTTAAAGATGCTTCCAGATGGACAAATATTTTTAATTAAAATATTTTTGTGATAAGCTATACTTATAAGCAGACATTCACTAATTCATGTTTGAAAATCCAAAAAGATGCAAGTTTGAAAGATGGAAAATGCATAGCAAAACCTCCTCTTGAAGCATTCTTAATACATACTATATATTATACTGTTCTATTTCTATATAATTCTGTACATGCTATATAAGAGAAATTTAAGGCAGAAATTAGTATTAGTATAGGAATAAGCTATGTGAATGCAGCTTTTTGGTACATGATTACCATGTTCATATGCAGCAAAAGTTTTTATCTGTGAAATATAGTTAATTCTTGTATTTAATTTATTATTATGAAATTGCCCCTGTTATTTTTTAGAGTATGACTGTTAGTATGGTGTATAAGTACACTGTATAGTATAAATGCAAGCACATTGTACAATGTTTATCTAATTGATAAAAAACAGATGAATCAGATTTTTCAGGGGCTTATTTTCATATTTCAATGAACATTCCCTTGCTCTTATTTTTGGAAGTCATTAATGAAGGCTATGTTCTGTGGATCCAATGGCTTATATTAACATTTCCGGTTGATATTTTTAATAACAATCCTTGACTTTATAACCACAATTGAGGTGCAAATTTTAGTTGTATGTTGACATGGCTGCTTCCCTCAATGACTGCAATTCTGTCACTCCGAGGTTGTGATCATGCAGGTCATTAAGTGGAGAACTGGGTGCCTCGGGGTGGGCCAGTGCCATTAGCAATCTCAACCAATTGCCATATCAGCCCTGATGCCACTTTTGACATTCACAAATGTCGCATCACACCATTCACCCAGCATTCTTGGGGATCTGCTGCACACTTCTTATCTTCAGGCATTTCTTTCCTGCTGTCGATGGGTTCTTGCAGCCCACAAAAGGCAGCTGCTGGTTCCACACAGGCCTTGTTTCCCAGAGTCTGTTTGTGTGGAGATTCCAAATTCTTTGGAGTTCCTTTTTGGAAGCTCCAGCTTCCTAAGTTGTGCAAGGCTTCTGAAAACTCCAGAAATCACAACTTTGGAAGGCTTTGGAGACTCCATGAGAGTTCACACAAAATTTCTGAAAGCTTCCTAAAGCTCCAGAAGCCCAACACAACTTCGGAAGGCTTCAACTTGTGCCTTTTGAAAGCTCTATGTAAACTCCAAAACCTTCTGAAGTTGTGTGAAAGTTCAGAAAGCTCTGAAACCCTGGCAGAACCTCAGAGGTTCTGGAACCCTGGCATGACTTTGAAAGGCTTCAGAGGCTCCACAAAAGTTTGCATGCAACCCAGGCTTCCCAAATCATGTGAGGCTTCCAAAGTCTGTTGAAGTTGCACTGGGATTCTAAAGTTTTCAGAGCCTCCAAAGCCTTCCAAAGTCGTGATTTCTGGAGTTTTCAGAAGCTGCATGCAAACGTTGTGAAATTTCTAAAGGCTTCAGAAGCACAAACTGTTTCTGGGAAAGAAGGTATAGTATGAGGAGGAGCTGCCTCTAATGAGTTGCACAAGGTGGCATCTGTGGATGGCAGTATCAGCACTAAGAGTGAAGCAGAGTTGTGGCAATGGGAGTTGGCTGAGACTGCAGAAGGCCCCAAACCTGATGCTGCTGTTGAACACTGGTCTGCAGAGCAGACTAGATGGTGGGAAGATAGGCAAGATAGGAGAGCACACACACCCGAACAGTAATAAGAGTGTGCAGGCTCACAAGTGCCCAAATTTTGATAATGTGACCATTGGGTGCTTCAATGGTTGTTAGGCAGTGGCTGCAATTCCTTTGGTTCAGCATTGTCTTAATTTCAAAGTCGCTGAATGAATTATCATAAGTCAAGGACTACCTATACTCGACTGCACCACATATTAGTGCAGATTTTGGGGATTCTGGTTTTCAGGTTAAATGGTCCTTTTCAAAAGGCAAATCTTCTGGAAGGCCTGACTAGAGTACAGAAGGCCTGACTAGAGTACAGGTAATCCCTGAGGTACGAGTGTTCTAGAGAGCCTTCACTTTCTTGGCCTTTGGTGTATAAGCAGACAATAGAGGCCTAAACTACTGCAAAATCATGCTAGATCAGTAGTGCAAGAACTCAAGCTTTTGCTCTTGCGTGATCTCACAGTACTTTAGGCCTCCGTTCTCTGCAAACAGAGGCCTGGATGAGAGCTGCAGCAAAAGGCTTTGCAAATGGCGGGAAGGCTTGAAACATCAAAACTTCCCCTCCGTTTGCAACGCCTTTTGCCATCTTTCCAAAAAGTCTGTGCTGCCAAGAACGGAGCCCTCGGAGGGAGCGTGCGTTGCTCTGGAGCTCTGTTTTTGCCATGAAAGACCTTTTCTCAAAGCCTCTGCTGAAGAGAAGCTCCATTTTCAAGCACCCCATTTCTATGCAGACAAAGTTTGCAGTTTCCATCAGGGCAATAGGTGTTTGAGCAACCCTAGGGCAACTCTTGGAAATGGAGCAATGGACTCCGTTTCTAACCCTCCCTTGGACACTCAAATACTTGTTGCCCTGATGGAGACTGCAAACGTATATCTGCACGGAAAGTGGGCACTTTTTCTCTGCTTTCAATGCCCTATTTCCATACAGACAAAAGTTTCCAGTCTCTGTCAGGGCGGCAAGTATTTGAGAAGACTTGGGGTGTGTATGTTGGAAACGGAGAGAATTGTTTGAAAATTGAATTTTTGCTCAACACACACCCTTGGGCAATTCAAACACTTTTCACTCAGCGAAACATTGGAAACTTCTGGAATGCATGGTCTTGCGCGAGTTCAGGCACCCATCTGCTTTTTCAGCAAATGGATGCCTGACGTCCCGTGGGATCAGGGCACTCAGAAGGTTCCGGTCTCCGTGGGAAAAGTGGTTGCACACTAATGAGGGGCTTGGAGCAATGCGAGTTCACTGCCCCAAAGCCTCATTTCATGCAAACATTTTTCCACACGGAGCCTGGAAGCCTTTGCAGGAGACTCACTGAGACTGCCCGCCACTCCAGAAGTGGCAGGCTGGGTCGGTGATCAGAGAATCCAAGCAGGGCACACTTGTCCTGTTATATCTGCTCTCACCTGGAGCAGGCAAAGAAACAGAAACGCTGGAGAGGAGACAGATCTTCACAAGGAAAGTAATCTGGCGCAGCAGATTGGAGTGGGGAGAAGCAATTGTGGGGAGCATGAGGTATTTCATGCGTTCGGGAGACCTTGTGTGGTCAGATGCAGGTGCCTGTTCCACATCACTAGGCCCCTCCATGCCCTTCCCCATTCTGAGATACCACATGTGCATTTAATGAACTGCATTTGATTATTGAATGCATGGGCGAAAGGAGAGAGTGATCACTTTCAAGGTACGAGATTCACTCCCACAAATCCTCAGGTTGTAAATGGAATGGGCAGGCTCCATTATATTAGTAACTCAAGGACTACCTGTATTCTATTTTACGTTAGTTTTTGTACAAAATGATAATCTTTTTGCTGCCGAATACATTCCCTTATTTAGATTTAATGGACTTTGGGTTGATATAAATCTGCCAATTTTGCTGCAAAAATCTGACAGGTGGAAAGAAAAGTGTGTTCTCTTTTTACTGTTACTCATTATTAACATCTAAAGCTGCTTTTTCCTTGTACTCCCATCTTTTGAAACAATCCTGCCTTTTCTCTCCTTCCCCCTACTTGTCTCCTCCTCTGCCCTAATAATTAATTCTGCATACATAGGCAATCCCTCTCAAGATCTTTCATCAAGCATCTGATGAAGTAGCCTAGAAGCACAAAAAGCTTGTGATGATACTAGTGTTTCTACTAGATATTAGTGTTTCAGATGCCATATATTCTTGGTGGTTGTTGTTTTAAAAAATAGTTTTTATTAAGCATCTTTACCTTTAAAAACAGAAAAAAACAAAAAACAAGACCAACATATGGTGTTTTTTTTTTTACTGCAACAAAAAATCTGGCTATCCCTTTCTTGGAACACACTGACTCAATTACCATCCCTCTTTATTTCCTGACTCCCTCAATTTCCTGCCAGTTCTGTCTCCTTTTGAGTTGCTTGAAGTTGTGCTAAATGACATTCCATTTGGTTTTCTTCACATTCTTTTCCCCTTCCCCCACAACCTTGTCTTGAGTTACTGTGGTGAAACATTTCAATGTTGAATATTTCTGCAAAGTATCTGCACTTGACAGAGTGAAAGAGAGACTCCATAAGTTTCATGGAACCATTCACATTCTAGAATAATTATTTCTCACTGCTTGTAGTGACATCTTTATTTCTCTGGGGAAGAGCTCTTCCTCTGCTTCTGCTCCTCCCTTCTTTTACCTTTAGGGATAGAGCTTTAAAATCCTTTCCCTGTGTTATAATAACCATTTTCTGTGGGTTTGTTTACTCTTATTTTCTATAAGGACCAAATTCATTCTTTAATGTCTCTTTTATCAGAAAACATTCCTGTCTGAAAATCTGCACATTTCTTAGCACTACTACTCTTTGCTTTTCATAATGCAGATTAGATAATCAAACTGGAAGAGCAAGAATGAAAAATATGGGAATATTTAAATTTTGCCTTTGATAACTGACTTTTCCTCAAATGTGTCAGCAAGCAGATGGAATGCCTATTTAGCTGCCTCTGTCACTTGTTTTTTTTTTCATCATCATGTGGCTCTTTTTGATTGCCAGATGGCTCCAAACTCCTTTGTATCCATTTCTTTCAGGAGATGCCTAAGCTGTATTCCCTGAACAATATATTTCTAAAGGCAATGTCAACTTGAGATAAGATTGGGGGATGTGAATGTACACAAATACATTGACAACTTGTCACCTTATCACTTTTATTAAAAAGACTAATTGAAATTACAAACTACAAGTTTGATACATCATTCCTTGTACAATTACATCATTTATGTGATGTTCCACATGAGGCTGCATCAGCAAAAATACTAAGTGTGTGTATGCACACACGTAAATCTAAGGCTAAACCTAGCTTTCAAAATATCTACCCTACATACACTTCCCCCTTTGCTTAAATAATGGGAAATGAGCAGCTGCATTGTATATGCCTTTTAATTCCAGTGCTGTAAAACTGTACTTCATAATCAGTGTTGGAACCATCTGTAATTGAGGCCTGTCTCTTTTTACTAACCATGCCATAGACTTTCTGATGAAATTGGAAAAACAGAGGTTTCTGTGGCAATTTCTCTGCATTTTTGTTTTCTGTTCTTGAAGGCATTAATGAAGGCCAGCAGGTGGCAGTACAAACAATGGATTCAGTCTACCTAAAACTGGAACAGATGTTCTAATGTGATTTTATAGGTTTATGTTTTGTCAGGAGCTGTTGCTATGGAAACCAGATTTTGCAAGCTCCTCATGAAGTTGCAATTAACACATTCAGTACCAGGTTGATGAGAGTTGGGGGAGGCAAACATTCAAATGGAATAGAAAATATTATAGTCATCGGGGACTTTTCCTTTAAACATATACTTGTAGAGTCTGTGTTAAAGAGCTTGTATAATTTTATTTTCAAAATTTTTAAAAACACATACCAATAGTTCTTATCACATTTACTTCTCTGCCTTCTAGGACAGTGCTGGCTTTCTTGCTCCTGTTGAAAGAGATGCCAACTTTTGATTTAAATCCATTTGTTCTTTTTCTTATGCCTGTGTTCAAGTAAATACTTGGTAGTATGGTATGGTTGTCTCCAAAGAGTCTCAGCTTCTTGTCAAACAGAAGGCAGCATTGGCAAAACGTAGTGTTCATCACAGGAGCAATGTAGGTGCTCTTCCTCTTCCTTGTTTTTGAGACGAGAAATATGCTTGTTGCTAAGGAAACAACATTAACTGGCCTGTTTCAGCCAGTCTGCTTAATACTCTGACTGTTGTATAGAGTGAAAAGTAGATCAGTGGAAAATGCATAGCTCTAAACCCCTCAGGGTACTAATGATTTCAAGGCATCAGAGTAATATCATGGTTCTACTATTAAAGCAGAAAGTCTGTGACATATAAAGGAAGAGGTAAAATGTTATAAGGAATTTCTCTTTGTTTTATATCCAAATTGGCAATTATGTGTTTATAAAACAGCTACGTTGATTGAAGGAAAAATGCTTCAGAAACTTCCAGGAAGAATTTTTTTAAAAATCATCTTTAAATGCTCAATTGTACAATCTCATTTTATAAAAGGTTTCTCCCAATTTAAGACAAAGGAAGATATCTTGAGAAGCACTTTTGTGTAGTGTTGTCTTCACATAGTATATTTTTACACATGACCAGCTCTTCTTTGTTTTTATCAAGAAATATTTTAATGACAATTTTATTCTCTTTTCTATAGTACACATTCCAAAATGCCCATAATTTTGAGTCTATAATGCTACTTCTTAGATGGAGGCGCCAATGAAAATTAACAAGAAATCTCTTATTTTGTGTTCTTGCAGAAGGAGATGAGACAGGAGTTATGGACAGCCTACTAGAAGCCTTACAGTCAGGTGCAGCCTTCCGTAGAAAAAGAGGAGCACGCCAAGGTATGGTTTTGCTTAAATGTCTTCAAAGCAAGTGTGAAATAATAATTTTTCTTGGCACAATTGCAAAGTAACTCTAGGTTTTGCGGTGTGGAGGACACAATTGAATAGAAAAAAATTATACTTGCCTTTTGAAGATAACAAAGTTTTGATGTCTCTACCATGTAGTTCATACATATAATATATAATATAATGTAGAATATAGTTATTGGATCAATTAGTCAAATATTGTTTATCCATAAAATTCAGTATCAATCATTGGATCAAAATAGCGGGCGTAGAGGTAAAATTAAGGAAGCCCATGTGTCAACAATCTGACTAGCGAACGCAAGAAAAATACATTTAAGAACATTTAAATCCCAAAAGCAAAACACCATTTTGGCACTGAAGAATCAAAACCAACTCTGGTTTTTACTGTGCAATGCACAGGTTGGTCACATTGTCCAATTATAAATTGTACGTTTGTTTTGAGAACAATTCACTTCTGTGTCGGATACCTGCATCAGTGTCCTTGGTGAGATATTGGCTCTCATGGTCTGTCTCTGGAGTGTCTGCATTCTTTCACCCTTCCCTTCCCCCATTTCTTTGGCAAGTTGAAGAGCGATGAGACCTAAACATTTCAAAAGCAGTTCAACCTTGACATGCCAACCCCCTGGGAAAAAGAGGAGACCTGGAAAGATAGCAAACATAGATTAATATCATTATTCATGTTCCTTGAGCCTTCACTCCCCTGGTTTTCGTGGGTGCTTAGTATGGAATCTTCTCACTAACCTATCAGTGTTAATGTCCTGTTCTTTCACTCGTTCTGCTTTTGACATCAGTTACCCTTTCTGTCAACCCTGAAGCTGACCTGACTGTGTTACTTGGAATCTTGTGCAATTTCCCCTAATAGTACCTCAAATCTAGAATTTATTAATTTCATAGTGTATCTCCCCCTCACTAAAATGTGGTGGTTCCCTTCCAACTGGTCTTAAGTTAGACTCTTTAATCGGCTTCAACAAGCTGCAGTGGAACACTGGGTGGACTTTACCTTGTATTTTAGGCAATTTTAATTCTACTGTGACCGGATTGATGATGCACACAATCGGGAAAAGACCTATATATTTAGGACCCAGTTTTTTACAGGGTTGCCTTAATTTCAAATACTTCATGGATAAATATACTTTGTCCCTGATCTTAAACTCCCTCTGGGGGGTCCTCTTCCAATCTGCTTCTTTTGCAACTCTCCCGCCTTCACTAAAGCTTTCTGCACCTTTCCTCAAGCATTTCTTATGGTTTTCATCCAGTCTGTTAGCATTACTGAGGAGGGAGACTCCCTTAGGAATTCTGGCATGGGCACAAACTCCATTCCTGTAGCCAGTTTGAATGGAGTAAGGCCAGTGCTGCTATGAACTGAGTTATTATAGGCTATCTCTGCAAATGGTAAAAGTCCCACCTAGTTCATTTGCTGATAGTTCACATAGCAACTTAACTATTGTTTGACTATTGCATTGGTCGGTTCCACCACTCCGTTAGTACTCAAATGGGACTCTGAACTAAGCCTCTGGGAGGAACCTATCAACTTTAAAAACTCACACCAGAATGTTGCAGTGAACTGTACCCCTCCTCCCGGTCTGAAATGATGCATTTTGGAAATCCATGTAGTTGGTAGATGCATTGTATGAACAGTTTGGCTAGCTTCTGGGCTGATGGAAGCTTGGGGCATGCGATGAAGTAGGCTTTTTTGAAAACAAGTTGACTACAGTCCAAATCACCATGCTTCCCTTGCTCTCCAGCAATTCCACAATAAAATTCATAGTGATCTCTTCCCATGGTTGGCTAGGATCAGCCCCCTGCTGCAGCAGCCCAGGGGTCTTTCTTTGCATTTAGTTCATAGATGCACAAACTGGGCAACTCATCATATAGTTCTCTGTGTCCTTCTTCATTTTGGGCCACCTGAACTGTCTCCTGACCAGGTGAAGAGTCTTTACAAAGCCAAAGTGGCCAGCTGATTTAGCATGGCTTTGGTGTAAGATCTGGGTTCTCAGACTGGCCAAGATGTAGTTTGTCTCCCTTCCAACCCAGGTCTTCCTCATTGTCATCTCATCCCAATGGGCTTGGAACCACTCATCCTTCTGTAGGGCTTCTCTCAGTTCATTGGCCAACCCCTTGTCAGGCACCTGAGGAGTGCTCAGTGGCTGCCACCTGTCAGAGGTTTTGACTGCCAGCTGCTTGGCAGGGATGATAGAGTTAAATTTCCTCCTGGGTGCCTTTATACTGGGGCATCTGAGAGAATGTGTCTGCCAGAAGGTTTTTTCCTCCAGCAAGTACTTAAGTGTGTAATTGATTAAAATATTGAGCCCATCATACTTGTTTCAGATAAAGCTTCCTTGGTATCATCAGGGACTCTAGATTCTTGTAGTCTGTCCATACTTCAAATAGGATATTACTGCCGTCTAGGAACTACCTCCAGGTCAGTAGTGCCCATCAGACCACTTAAGCCTCCTTCTCCCACACTGCCCAGCACCTCTCAGTGTCCATGAATTTACAGGATGGGTAGGCACGTGGCTGCAGTATTCTTTTGAAGTAGGACAGCCCTCATCACTATATTGCTGGCATTTGCGTATATGACAAACTGTTCATCTGGGTTCGGGTGTTTAAGGACTGGCTATGCCACTGACAGATGCTTGAGCTTCTCAAAAGCCGCTGTGCATTCCATGATCCAGTTCAGCAACTGACGGAGCTTGGGCTTAAGATTGGTTGGGCAGAATGATTTGGGCAAATGATGAAATAAATTGTCTATAGAAGTTGGCAAAGCCCAAGAAACTTTGCAGCTGTTTTCTGGTTTGGGGGGATTCCCACTCCAGTGTGGCCTTCACTTTCCCAGGGTTCATTTCTGCTTGCTCATTTGTCACCGGTAACCCAAATAGTCCAGGCTAGTTTTATGGAAGTCACATTTTGATAGTTTGGCATAAGGTTTAGCGTCTAGGACTTCTTTTAATACCTCACACACTAACTTCCATCTTTTCAAAGTAGATGACTTCCGGTTGTACTTCCGGTGCCTTCATAAGCCTGATCCGCAAGCTCTGTGGTCAACTCCAACCTCTCCCTGTTAGAGGGTCCAAATTTGGACCATAGCAACACTGAGGGGGTGGTGAAATAAAGGGGGACCACCTGGCAGGTAGTGGAAAGCCGCATCTCTCCTTCCTGACTTGGAAAACCTCCACATCTGAAGATGAACAGCAGCAGCCAAAATGGCTGTCATGAAGCCGGGGACAGCCTGAATACCCAAGACAGTGCTGGAGTAGAGAAAGTGAATGGAGTGTGATCTGAGTGAGAAAATATTTTTTTTATTGGAAGTTGACCCCAGAAATCTAAGGGGGAAGCATATTTAAAGCTATTTGTTGAAGCTGCGAATGAGCACATAGGAAATATACTGGAGAATTGAAGAAGGGAAAAATTAGTTTTTAAAATAATAAATAGAAACTTGGTTCCTCAAAGCTAAAAGACATATTGAGAGCATTTTAAAACGCTGGAATTACAGTTCCAAATGTATCTTTACAAACATTGCTCAATTATTAGATTTATAATTTTAAAATAATTAAAATTGGAACTGCCAACAATATCGCAGAGAGGCTGAAGCAGACAGAAGTGAGAGCATCATCTGCTGATGAAAAAGGAAATATGCAAGCTTGGAAATAACTATTCAAAGAGACTGGAAATATCTGTGGAACGCAGACCTACTCTAAGACCACTAGAGATTTGATTATTAACTAAGGACTTCAGTTAAGAGCCACTGAACATCATTGAATATAATTGAACATATAAAGTAATTTGAAGAGGCGTAGATAACCTCCTGGTGTGTTTAAATTATTTGGACTGAGTATTTAAATGGAGACATTTAAAATTGTGTCTTGGAAGTTTGGCTTTTTGAATTAATGAACTCTGAACAGTGGGCTAAAAAAAGAGATTGACTAAGCACAGATGCAACACAAGACAGAAGTGAGGAGAACTTAAACAGAATGGAGCTTTTTCAAAGCATTGAGAAAATATTTGATCGTATAGACCAAAAATTGGGTAATTTAATACAAAGAATACAGACAATGATCAGAATGGAGCCACCAGAAGAAACAGAAAATAAGATTAAAGGTTTGGATGAGGGTAAGAGATGATGGATAAGGGAAAATAGAGTAAAAGAATATTTTTATTAATATATTTCAATAATGTGTATTAATAGCAGAGCTATACAGGTTGGATTATTATTTTACCAATGTGATAGCTATCAGGATAATATTTTTAATATGAAACGATATGAAGAATTGGGAAAATATGATGATGCAACATAGTGCCCAATGTTCTTTAACCTACTGGGCTAGATGCTGCTGATGCTGGTGCTGCTGATGACACAAATGCATTCCCCCACCCCTTTAATTTACTTAAGTTTAAAGTAATTGTCAATTTGGACAGCCTTAGAGGATTTAAGTAACTTAAATGAGGTAATTAATACTAACCCAGATATTATACCACAAATTCCACAATCCTCTACCAACTTCCCTTTTTTAAAAAGTATTTTCAATAATCAAAATACCACAAAAACTCTTTTATTTTTCCCTTCTTCTTGTTCTTAATCTCCAAACAATTTCACAGTTTCTGTTATTGTAATCCAAAAAAAGTTGTTTGTTAGTCCCAGATTTCTTCAAAAAATATTATCTTTTTCTTATGGATCCTTTTTGTTGAGAAGTACAGGGGCTGAATGAAACCTTTTACCAGGTTCTTGTCCACAAAGTTCCTCAAGTCCTAAATTTTCCTGGAGGTCATTACGTGCATCTTGGGGTTAGGCAGTTTCATCTCAATTGCACAGTCCATAGGTCAATGGGGAGAGAGCATGTCGGACTCCTCATTGAACACTTTTGCCAGGTCCCTATACTCTCTTGGGATGTGTGGCTTCCCCGACCCAGGGTCTGCCAGAGCATTCGCTGGCTCAGCCCTCTCTTCTCTGATTCGTGCTTGATCCATCTCACTCGTCTTTTCTACTAGCTCTATTTTTTTTCAGCACCACCTTTTAAGTGCCACTGATTGCTTCCCCAATTCACCATGGGGTTCCATTTTTTCAACCACGATAGTCCTAGTGTCACCTCTTCTACCATTTTTGGGGACACTATGAATCAGATAGTCTTTTTGTGGTTTTGTGGTTTTGTGCTCTCATGCTCACACTGGGCATCAGGCACATGGCGCCCCCCCTCCCCATTATTGAGCCATCATCTTGCTCAAACTTCATAGGCTGTCTCAGCTTCCTTACTCTTAGTCCTAACTTCTCTACCCATCTGCAAGCTGATGAAAGCAGAGGGTGCAATCCGAGTCTATCATGGCAGTAAAAACTCCCTGGGCTTCTGAGTGGAGCACCACGATCTCCACTTGGGCAGTGAAAGGGGCAATGAATCCACTTACCATCAGTTCATCCTCCCCCTTGCTGTTGCTTTCATAGAAGACAAGGCTGGGCGTGACAGAGGTCAGAGTTCCCTCCCCTTTGCTGGATTGGGGAGAGACCTCCACAAACTGATGCACCACCCGTGTTTTCTCCTTTGCCTTTTTCGGCATCTTCTTGGTCTTTGGAGAGCTTGGGACTCTCTGGGCTGCTGCCAGTTGTGGCACTGAGCAAGTCACGGACCGATGGCCCTTCCTCCCACATCAGAAACAGACTCTTGCTAGGCACTATATGTTCTCCCTCAAGGTCAAGGAGGGGATTCCCGGGGTTTTCCATCCCAGCAAGCATCTCTCTTGGTTCCTCCTGGGTTGGTTCTTGAATCCGACATGCCACATGAACTCCACTAGATCCAGCTCTGCTGTAATCACCAGTTGATACCATGAGTGAAGCTCGTCTGGGATTCCTTGGGGCAGGCAGTTTTGGTACAGTTCCCAATTCAGCCCATCTCAGAACTGGTAATCACTCTGGCCCAGCTCATCTTCCCCACCAGACCTCATAATTCTCTGATTTATTTGGCCACTGGTCTGACTCCCTGCCTGATGATTCAGATCTCTGCTTCACCCCAATGTGTCTGAAAGGGGTTCTTGAATCTGACCCAAAGCTCCTCCACGAAGGCATCAACATTCTTCAACTCTGCAGCTCCCTCATTGTGGAAGAACTCCACCCAGTCCACAGTCTCCCCCTCCAGCTCATAGTGATGGCATTTGTGCATGTGACGTCATCTGGATAGTCAGTCCATGTAGGTCCACACTTGGTTTAGGAAGTAGCCTAATTTCTCTGACCTCCTGTTGAATGTCACTGTCAAGGGAGGGGCTTTCAGTTGGCCCGGACCAGGATGTAACCTGGTGACACTCCGACTGCCTGTGGAATTGATTGTGCCTGCAGTCCCGTGGCACCCTTAGGCACTTGCTGACTCTAAACCGCTTAGAGAGGGCTGAAAGCCCTATGAAGCGGTATATAAGTCTAATTGCTATTGCTACTTGGCAATTTTCTCAAAGTTGCCTGGGGAGGGATGGTTGTCACTTGGGGACTCTTAGTTCTCCAAGTTGCCAGTCACTTCATCACAGGCTGGGATCAGGATGGTGAGAGGCCCACTGAGTTTTGGGCTTGGCTGGTTCTAGGTCCTAAAGCTAGTGTTGCTTGGTAAGTTGACTCTGGGATGGAAGTTGCTCTGCACACTTCCATCCCAACGAACCTCTCTCTCAGTTGTTCCATCGAAGGGTTGCAGCATGCCGTCAGGTACTTCCAGGCCACCAGTTCCTCCAATCCACAGCTCTCTTGGCTTTCAATTTCAATCCCCAGGTCACAACCACCCCTGGTGGAATCAGGGAATTCCACTTCGTCGGCCTTTCCCACTTTACCCCACCACGGTTCCTTCAGTTAGAGGAGGAGCCTCCCAGTTACAGCTCCTCCCTCTCGTGGTGGTGGCTGCTTCGTTTTCACCGCTCATATTTTGGATCAAGTCATGACCATTTGTGCTCCAGAGTCCACACTGGTGCTTCTTTTGAAGGGGCTATCCTAGCCTTTGATGCAATCTCCACTTTCTGCTCCGCACTAGACATTGTCCTTTTTTTCTCTCCTCACAGCATTCATGGACTGGTTGGTCACATTATCCAATTATCTGTTTGTTTTGAGAACTGTTCACTTCTTTATCGGATACCTGTATGGCCATCCTGGAAACTGTAAGGGGCCGGCTAGTGTCACTTTAGCCTGGCCCACACCATCCCGGCATGCATGCGCGCACACAGGCCCAGTTCTCCATCACCGCATGCAGAGCAACTAAAGTAGTCTATGGGACTATGGTAAAAAAAATAGTTCAGACCTTCCAACCTCACAAGATATTTTTTTTTTCGTGAGAAGTTGGAAGGTCTGAATTATTTTTTTAGTCCCACATACTACTTTAGTTGTTTTGCATGTGGTGGCGAAAGAAGCTGGAAAGATTAGTGAAGGGATGTGGCTGCCCTGGGTAGCGGGGTGTGTGTGTGAGGGTTTGGCCTGGCTGCTGGCCCTGGCCCTGCATGCTTCCTCGCTCAGTTGAATGCTTTGTTTAATCTTCAAACAGTAAGGCTGGCACACACAAGCAAGGAGTGCACCAGGGCTATGGACAGCACTGGTTCCTGCACCCAGCCGATTTCTATTCCATGGCCAGCCTTACTGTTCATTAGCTCCCTTGTTAATACATCCCTGGCCTGATTGTACAAGATCCTATTTCCTTTCCTGTAGGCCTTCTCTTTGGCATGACAAAGCTGCTTGAATTTAGCTGTAAACCAAGGCTTTTTATATAAACACAAGCTCTTTGTAGGCACACATGTCCTCACAAAAGCTAGTATCAGTAAATTCATCCAACTCTGCTGAAGCAGCTACAAAACCACTCCACTCTGAAATCATAGCAAGCCAGTATCCCTCACCTTGTTTCTTCAGTCCAACACTTCACTGTTCTTACCGCAGGCTTTGCAATTTTAAATTTCTGCCTGTGGGAATGAGGTACATCATACAATGATCAGAGAGACCTATAGCTGCATGGAGTAAAGTGTGATATGCATTTTTTTAACATGGTGTAGCAATGATCCAATATGTCCTTGCCTCTAATGAAACAGCTAACATGCTAGTGGACCTGGAAAATTCATGAGTGAGATTAGCTCTATTAAAATCCCCTAAAACAATGAGTAGGGAATCTGGATATTTCCATTCTGTGCAGAGTATTTGGTCTGCTAGAGTCTGCATTGCACTGCTTGTGCAAGTCTGTGATGGCATATAAACTCCAGTCAAGGTAGAATGAGGAAAACACTTGTGGAGCATAAGAGGGTTTACTATTGATGGATAGTGACTCAGTCCATATTGCAAAATTTCTTTAGTACTGTGACATCCTTGCACCAGTGATTATTAAGAGAGAAACAAATTCCACTACCTCTTTTTTCTCCCCCCCCACCCTGCTTTCTGTAACCTGATCCGTCCTTTGAATCTGAAACCTAGAGAGTTCTACTATACTCTTAAGGATGTTCTCATTGAGCCATGTTTCTGTAAAGTGGAGAACTGATGTGTTAGAAAAATCAAGGTTCTGATTTAGAAAGTACAGTTCATCCATTTTATTGATTAGTGAATGTAGATTTATTAGATGAATCAATGGGAGCCAAGTCCTAATCCCTCCTCTTCCTCAGTCTCATCAGCACTCACCATGTGTCCTATTCTCCTTCATTTCCTTTGTCTGTAGCTGCTATAGAGAGCTGCTACTTCTGTGATCAGAATTTTCAGAATTTTGATGAAACAAAGTCTTCATGAAGTCATTTTTTTAGAGACCATCATACAATTTTAATGATCTCTTTGCATATTTTCTGATCAAAATTACATGAATAATCATAACTTCAAATATTGCAAAGGAAAATCAGTTCTAGGGAAAATGGAGGGGGGGGTTGCTTTGTCCCCATTTTCTAAAGACTCCACAATCCTGGTCACAATTATCTGCTGTGTTTCACTACAGTGGAATTTTCATTATAGCTGCCACAATCCTGTGGAGTTCTTCAGGCTACCTATGAACAAGTATAAACTAAAGTATTTGAGAGAAAATGGCTAGTATATTAGACAGCATTATCTTCAGTGTACACTTACTTTTTTGTTTTTTAATATTTTAGCTTTTGTTTGTTTCTGTCTCATTCCAGGAAACAAAAATGTTGGCTGTGCAATGACATCATTACTTGCTTCAGAGTTGATCAAGGAAGATGCTCTTGGTGCAAAAAAACCACGCAGAGAACTTAAAAAGGATGATGATGTAGAGGTCACTGAAGAAACTCTTGATGAAACTACTATGGGGGCAAGCAGTCGTCAAAACTAGAGCTGGATGACACCTAGGACCAGTGCCTTTGGCATGAAACCTGTTTTACAGAGGAATTGAAACAATACTAAGTCACTTTGCAATTTTCTCTTTCACACTTATATACATGGAATGAAGAGGCAAATAACTTAATCACTTCAGCCTTTGTCATTCTAGGGCTGTTTTGCAAGATCTTTAAATTTGTAATATATTCCTTGAATCTTAAATTTGCTTTCTGCCTTATTGTCTCAGTATCAGTATCGGAAATGCAAAGGTTTTTTCTGACTTAGTAACATGCTTGGAACAAAGGTTGGGGCTTGTGCTGTAGTTACCTACTTCCCTGCAGGCAGGATTGGGAACACATTCCCAAGAAGAAAAAATATGGCACAGAAGAGAGGCTAAAGATTGGAACCTAATTTGCCCGAGTATCTCACTGTATTGATGTTGCCAAAGCAGGAATGCAACAAGCTGCCTTAATTATGACTTTTTCAATGTTTTGATTGGGCATCTGCCTCCCAAGATATTTTTTTTTCTCAGAAGCCTTCTCTTCTTTAGTGTTAAAAGAATGAGCTGATCCCTTCAAGTATAGGAGAGAGGATTGTTGGATATCTTAGCTAGATTTGTCTTTTTCCTTTGCACTGTATATCTTCTTTTCTCATTGCCTATCTTATGCTGGGAACAAAAATGGCTTAGAGATCATTTAATCACTGTGGTGACAGGGTTCTGAGAAAGCATTGTGGAGAATTTTTTCTTTGAATTGGAATACTTTTACTGTTCTGCTCAGCTGCTCTACCCCTTTTTTAACACAAACTCTTACTAGTGAAATGGTAATATCAATGACCTATCAAGAAAGAAAGTAAGGATAGTTTGCTGTTGCTGACCTATCCCTGCATGCTTTTGAAGTAAGATTAATAAAGTGATTTATTCAGTCTCAGAAAGGGAATTTAATCCCTATTTAGTTTGGGTGAAAATGCTCACTGTAACTGCAAAGGAATGAAGCTGAGATTGTGTTTCTTCACTGAGTACTCTTCATGGAAGACTGATAGTAAAATTATGCATACATTTAATATTTTGTGGCAAAGTCCTTTGTATAGTATAGCACATGGTTCCAAATATACCATGTAAGTATGACACAAATTAAAGCTTGCTTACTTGCTTGCTTTAATGGGTAATATGTTATTAACAATGTATATTAATTGCTATACAGTGGTGGAGGTGGACTGGAGTCTCCCCAGTCCCATAAGGCTACTTTGACAGTAGAACTAATTTTTTATGGAACTTCAGTGAAGATAAAAGAAAAATAACAAATATACCTACTGTTAAAATTGTTTGTGTATTCTCTGGTATTTCAGAGCAACCAACCACTATCTGCCAATAGACTTTCTCCCATACCATGTAGCCAGCATGCATCATGGCAGAAAGAGAAATTTGTAACATTGGCTGATTATCAGCATTCATGTTGGAATGAATATAATGGGTCTCAGATATATGTCATGTACATCTGAAAACTGCCAGAACAAATCATTGGATGCAGGCAGCTTTTTAATGTAATTGATGCCATTCACAAGATAAAATAATTAAGAAATATATTTTCATACAAGTTATCTGGGATTGCCAATAGTCACATGAATTCTTTTTCTACTCACTTTTACTTACCCCCCTACAGATATAATATATAATATCTCATATTTTTTATAAATTTGAAATGTGCATTGAATGTATTTTTTAAAAACTATTTTTTAATATTTGTACATTCCATTTAAGACTAATGGGAGTTTGCATGGAAAGTTCAATATAGGGGAATGTACTATATGGGTACTAAATAGCATACAGTACAGAGGTGGGTTCCTACCTATTCTGTCCAGTTCAGCCAAATAGGTAGTAACTCCAGTGGACACGTGACCGTACCGGTTCTCTCCTCTGCGGCGTCATCTAAGTTTTCTGTTCTGCACATGCACAGAACAATCTTCATTGGAAAAATGTAATTTCCCCCCTTTTTAATGTTGTGCGCATGCGCAGACTGTTCTAAGTGCAAATGCCCTGCCTACCCTCGGATGGCTTCCCTGCCTAAGCTGCCACGTGGTGCCTGTCCTGCGCCCCAACTGAGCTGCCTCCTCCTGCCTACAGGTAAGTCTCGCTATCACCCCTGAAGCTTGCTCCACACACACACCCACTCACTGGGCTCACAACCTTCCCTTCCCCCACCTCTTCCAGGATCCCCACAAGCCCCATTTTGGCTATCAGCAGGCTTCAAGCAGGCCTGCTAGGCCCAAAATAGAGCATGGGGAGGGCCTAGCAAGCCTCCCTGCAGCCCCCTGGGAGCAAAAGCCGGGGGGGGGGGCTTCCAGAGATACAGAAAGAAAGAAATCCTCACTGTTTGGGGATCCCCAAGTGCATAGAGCAGAGAGGTCTTCAAACTTGGGAAATTTAAGACTTGTGGACTTCAACTCCCAGAATTCAGCTCTGCTGGCTGGAGAATTCTGGGAATTGAAGTCCACAAGTCTTAAAATTGCCAAGTTTGAAGACCTCTGCTAGCTGCTAGCCTTAGGCTCAGGCTAAGCTAATCAATAGCTCTAAGAATGCCAGATGATCAATGGGCATGTTCTCAGTTTCAAAACGTCTGGCTTTTCTTCCTCCTACCAAAGACCACCTGGGGTTCTTCACAGGAAGGGAGGAAGGAAAGAAGAAGAGAGACGGAGGGAGGGAGGGAGAGAGAGAAAGGAGAGAAAGGAAGGACCACAAATCTGGCACGAGATGCAGCTTCAGAGGATGCTTTGAAACAGCACAGCAATCCAGGGCTAGAAGAAACCTCAGAGGTCATCTAGTCCAACCCACTCCTCCAGCAGACCTTATATCATCTTGGTTATTTTAGTGCCTCTAACACAGAGGAGAAATTCCCAGAAATCCCCAGGCATTGCCAACCTCTCCACCCTAAACCTAGAGCAAAAACTTCATGCAGTATTAAAAAGAATAGAAAAGTGGGCTGCTGTGTACTGTTTAATGGACTGCTAAATTGGCAAAATGGATGGCTAAATTGGCCACACCCACCCAACTACATGACCACCAAGCCACGCCCACATGGCTGCCAAGTAACTCCCAAACGGTCACATGGCTGTCAAGCCATGCCCACAGAACTGGTACTAAAAATTGAAACCCACCATTGACATAGTATCTGAAAAAATCTGCAACAAAAAAAGGCAAATACACACATAGAGTCATAGAATTATAGTCTGGAAGGTACCTTGG